ATAATGCCTGTTATCTCGGTAACAGAAAAGACCTGACAAGAGATATTTTCGAATTAGTCATGTCCTTATGCTAATAAGTAACTTGCAAAAAAGATTTTTCTTCAACTCGTCTGCAAAAAAACTCCAGTCAAATCTATTTCGACTTCATATGAGGGCCTTTTTTTGTCATAGCGTTACACTCTGGAAATTTGCTATAAAACTGCTAAGCGCAAACCAAAAAAGCAGCCATTGATAGACGCAGAATTTCACCATTTTTTTCCCAAAGTTAAAAGTCTCATCACTGAAGACAATGATTAAATATAACTAAATTAAACTTATCATATGCAATATACCGCCATTCCGGGTAACGTTCAACCAAATGTCTGTGCGTTACCGTTTTTGTTCTTTTATTCCATTTATAGAAAACATCGTGAAAAGCTGGAAGGCATCTTATTTTGTAGCTAAAAGTGTGCTCGTCAAAATCCATACTAAGCACAATGCAGAGTATTGAGCTATCGTTCTGATACAATCAAATTTCTAATAGCCCCATCTCGCTTAAAACTAGGTTAGGACTGTTGGAAAAACCACTGTAGCAGGAAATCGATCGTATACTTTGAAATAAGTTCTGAAGAGCACACTCTTAGCTATAACATGAGACATCTCTCAGCTCTCCACGGTCTCTCATTCAAATAATATAAGATCAACAAAAAGAGCAAAAAGTACGGTAACGCACAGACATTTGGTTGAACGTTACCCGGAATGGCGGTATATTGCACATGATAAGTTTAATATTTTCAGAATCTCAGTTTGTTTTCTAGGTGAAACACGAACAATCCACCCAACGGCAACATGGTCTGAAAATGCAACAACAGTTGCAGGTGGTAACGGCCAAGGTGAAGCATTAAATAAACTCGCTTTTCCAAGATCTATATTTATGGATGATCACAACAATGTCTATGTAGCAGATTCGCGGTATAATCGCATTGTGAGATGGAAGCCTAATGCTTCTAGTGTAACAGCAATTTGTCTCAACAATAAGAGTGTCTTTGCTCGTGCATACAATAGATGAATGTTTCTGTCTTCATCTGTTTGATTTTTTTTATAACTAAATCACCAACTGCATCGAATTATATATAATTTCCAGCAGTTTTTAGGAAAAAATTGGAAGTTTTCGTGGAAGGCTAAATTTGAGGCAGTACCGTGGTACTTGAGGCCAGTGATTTTTATATCTTTAGAAAAAAAGACCTGGAGGTCTACGAATAATTGCTTTATAGGTTTCCGAGTGCGGCTGATTCAATGGACTTGTTTAAAAAATTCTAAACTGGTATTACAAAGGTTTTCTATAGACCGGATCTCTGAGAAACCCTTAAAACATGAGTTTTGAACTTTGTAAGCGATTCCATTAGAAAGAGCACACTCGAAAACCTACAAAAACGTGTCTGGGAGATCTTTCCTGCGCTTTAAAATCCAATGTCCACATGCCTACCCAAAATTGCCCACTGTGCAGGGGTGAAGAAGCTGAAAAAATGAAATTCTGTAACACTTGGCCGCGTTATTCAAACCTCGTTGTTTTTCCGTTAGGAAACTCAATAACGTATCCGTTCGTACGATTTATATATAATATAACAAACTCAACTATTAAAAATTTTGTTCCAGATTATTCTTGCTGTGAATCAACACTATGCACACATTTTGACTTTCAAAGAGTAACTGTAAATAACTTTTCTTGTATAGAAAGCCTCCTATTCAATTACTCTGACTGGGATAGCTTAATTAGCAGTGTGCTGAATTTATTTACAATTTGCTTTATGAATGACACAAATTGCGATAATGATCACGCAATTAGGTATTCATCTGATAGTACCATATCAAAGTGTATATCGAAAGAACGTTTACTTGATGGTCATGTGGATTGTATTAATGCTGCCGATGAGACAACATTAGCTGTTGATCTATGTCAGAAAAGTTTATCGAATCGCTTCCAGTGTAGCACAACTCCTCAGTGTATCTACTGTCGAAAGCTTCAGAACAGAGAACACGATTGCATCGATGAATCCGACGAAAACAGTCTCTTTCGGTGTAGTATATATTTGAATGGATTAGAATGCTACTGGCTGCGTGGAATGTTGCAATTAAAAGTTGATTTTTCGTATGAAAATTTGTGTAATGGGATACTCGATCTTCCACTGGATAAATACAACAAGTCGGATGAGACGGACTGCGATAACAGAGATCATGTCTTTCATCAATTACAAGATGCAACGGCGTATAGAATTGTGCAGATGGATCAGACAAAGCGAATTGTACAAACTATTCTAAATATGTTACGTGCAAACAAGACGAGCATGATTGTATTGATATAAACTCACATCTACCGATGTGCTACAATTATCGGTTAGCGGCTAATGGCATCAACGACTGTGTCGATGAAATTGATGAAAAGATGAATGGATACTGCCGCACACACTATCCATATGAGAACGGAAAACGATTTCGGTGTAGTAATAGCTCCTTGTGTATAACCGTTGCACAGTTGTGTGATTGTGAGAGTGATTGTCCTCTTGGTGACGATGAAGAGTTATTATGTCATTGGTTGAATGAATATTTGTGTAAACGTAAGAAATATGTGTTCTGGTGTGAAAATGGAAAAGGGCTAGACTGTAGTGCGTCTCGTTGTAGCGGCTATGACGAATGTTCATCTGGCGAAGATGAGTGGTTTTGTGATATAAGTGATTTAGATAGTGTTGTAGAACTCAAATATTATTTTCTATATTTACAAGAATATCCGACTCAATTGTACAATGTGCAGCCAGAACGACGTCAATTTTCTGCTATGACACTAGAACAGGATCAAAGATATAAAAATTAATAAAAACTAAAATTTATAAACCCATAACTTTATTTAGTCTGGATTAAAATCGGTTGTAAATTAAGGTTTTTTCTTTTATCGGAATATAGATAATTTTTAATTTTCCAATTAATCAAAGAAAAACCACCGCAGTGTTCTTCTCCATATTTGGATTTCCCTTGAGTTTTCACTCAATAGAACTGAAGAATTCGTGAAAACTCAAGGGAAAACCCATATATGAAGAAGTAACTGCCGTTTTTTTTCTCATGGGCGTACTAACAAATGAAAATAGTTTATGAATGGTTGAAACAATGATATGTATATCACAGATTAGATCTATATTTCCAAATTATTCCAAAAATTTATTCATTGAGTTTAATTTTAGATTATTCAAACAAGGATGATACCCCATGGGGAAATTTTAGTAGGTACCGCGGTGCGTACACGCGTGACTATCGTGAAATGAATTGTGGTCGCACGTGAACATCGTAAAATGGTGTGTGAGCACGCGTGAAAAATATATTCCACTTGTGACAACGGGTGAACTGATCACGAAAACGTTTCGCGTCATATTTTTTGCACGTGATCACAGGTGAAGGTCATGAAGTGTGTAGTGGTCACACGTGAATTTCTCATGTTAAAGTTTCCGTAAAAAAATATCACTTGCGGACACGAGTGAAAATGTTTCCCACTAATTTCATTGTGAAAAATATCTTCACATTTATTCGCACGTCAGTTTTTCACGCAACCCATTTCGTGAATAATATTCACGCTTAACCCTAAGCGACAAAATTCTTACGTTTCACGCGCGTCCACGTGAGAAATCTTTTACAGGTGCGAAATGTCGTGAAGATTGAGCGGCAAGCATAAATACAAATTTTTCCT